GCTGTACCATCCCCAGCCCTGTCCTCTGGCGGAGCTGGCTGCTGTACAGATGGAGAAGACCCTGCGTAGAAGGGCTGGGGCGGTAGAGCGGCCCCAAGTTCTGCTCCTTTTACCACTGTGGTCCAAAGGCGCAGCGAGAGGAGGACAGAGGCTCCCCCCCAGGTAAGGGGAGTGGATCATGGGGAGGGGACGGGGAGAGCGTGGGGGCCCCAGGCTGGGGATGGGGTAGGGAGGGGTCACGTGAGGAGGTCACATCCCCCCAGTGCCCCGCCCAATATCGGTAAGAAATGGATTCCACTTGCACCACTGGTCTTTTCCCATAAGACTGATGACACCCCGCCGTTATTAAAAGACTGCCAGTGCTGTGTTAGGAATCTATGCTCCAGTCACTGAAACATGACGGTACATACCACAGCAACAACAGCAGTACAGACAGCTATTCTACAGGCAACCCACTTACCCTTCTAGACAATATGACTTCTCAGAGGAGGAGGCTTTCTGGTTTGAGGTCCAACTAACCTTCTCATTGTCATTTGTTGCTAGGGAAACAGCCTATTTGACATCTCTCTCGAGGACAGCAATCCAGTTTTGAATGATCTACCAGTCATGTCCCCTCCATATGGGGACAGATTGTCCTGCTTTCTTAGTGCTTGGAACACTATAACCACCGACAAAGGGGTGCTAAACATGGTGACTCTGGGATATTCTGTCCAATTCATATCTGTCCCCCATATCTTTTCAGGGACCAATCTCACAACTCTCTGCTCCTCTAAGAAGTTGAGACTCTTCTTGCATCAGGGCCCATAGAGGTAGTTCTCCTACAACATAGTGGCAAGAGGTTTTACCCCAATGGAAAAGGGGGTTGGAGACCCATTCTGGACCTTTGTAATTTCAACAAGTTTATTTGGTATGTGAAGTTCTGCATGGTTTCCCTGGGATAACTCCTTCCCTCACGAGATCGCAACGACTAGTATGCTGACCTCAATCTTCATGACACCTACTTTCATGTGACAGTGCTACCAAGCCACAGGAAGATCCTGATATTTGTTGATGGTGGTCATCATTATCAGTAAAGGGTGTTTCCCTGTGGACTGTTGTCAGCCCCTTGCATATTTTCCAAGTTCATGGCAGTAATGACCACCCATTTGAGGAAGAAAGGGATTAATATCTTCCCTTTACCTGGACGAATGGTTAGTTCAGGGCAGATCTGAAAGCCAAGTTCTCCGTCGTGTCCATGTCACTTGTCTTTTTGATTGTCTCAGCCTCAGGATGAACAGAGAAAAATCCATGGTACTTCCAACACATGAATCATGTTCACTGGGACCCTACTCAATTCTACAAAATTGATGGCCTTTCTCCCTGCAGAGGTTTCAAGTAATTTGCCAAATCTGCTTGTCCCTCAAAGCCCACCCCACAACTATGATTCAGATATGTTTGAGACTCTTGGGCCACTTATATACTCCTGTATGCAAAGCTATGCCTTCACACTCTTCAAGGTAGGGTAAAGTCTATCCAGCGACCAAATTTCCACCCATTGAATAGATGGGCCAGAGTTCTCCCAAGGATACTGAGGTACCTGGATTGGTGGATGGGTCAGAACAATGTATGCAGAGGTGTTCCCCTTTGCTCATCTACCTCCAATAATGACCATAGTTACAGATGCTTTGAAATCAGGTTTGGGGGACACATTTTGGGTCTTTGTGAGCCCAGGAGGTATGGACTTAGCAAGAGGTGTTGCTGCATATCAACATGCACGAGCTCGAAGAAATTTTCAATGTCGTTGGTTATTCTTCTCCCACATCAGAGGCCTTTCAGTTCAGATTCTCACGGACAATATTTTTGTGATATATTATATGAACAGGCAAGGGAGAATGTGGCTCAACCAACTCTGTCGAGAGGTGATGAACCTGTGATACTTTTGCATCACACCAGTGGCTGCTCACTTACAGTCAGTATTCTTTAATCCAATGTTGGGCAGATTTCTCAAAGGTGTTATTCCTCTCTATCCCCCTACAAAGAATGCAGTTACTATGTGGGGCTTAAATACAGTGCTGGCAGCTCTTATGGGCCCCCCATTTGAGCCACTAGCTAATTGCTCTCTAGCTCAACTTCCTCAGAAAATAGCTTTTTTCATTGCAACAATGTGAGCCAGAAAAGTGGGAGAATTTCAGTACTGGATGGCGGGCCCTCCATTTACAGAGTTCTTTAAAGATAAGGTGACCTTAAGACCACATCCAAAGTTTTTGACCAAAGTTGTATTATGACTTTCATCTAGAACAAATGATACACTTATCTGTATCTTTTTAGAAGCCGCACTACAGCAAGGATGAACAGTGTCTTCATACATTAGATGTGCGAAGAGCACTGACATTCTGTTTAGATAGAATGAAGCCATTTCAAGCATCTCTCCTTGCCTTTTTGTTTCTTATTATGATAGAATGAAAGGTCAGGCAGTTTCAGCGCAGACTATCTGTAGATGGATTACAGCATGCATTACAACAGCCTACAGGGCAGCAAACCTTTCCCACACTGGAAAAACTCCTTGCTCATACCACAAGAGCACAAGCTATCTCTGTGGCCGTCTTACAAGACATATCTATTCTGGACATAAATGCTGTTGCGTGGGCCTTTACTCAGCATCATGCTATCACAACTGCTTCCAGATCTGATGCAAACTTTGGAAAAACAATCTTGCTGTTGCTATTCAAATAGACTTCATGCCTCACCTCCTACCTGAACTGCTTGGGAGTCACCTGAGTGGAATACAGATGTGAAGAAGAAAAAATTATTACTTACCTATTCTGTAACTGTTCTTCAAGATGTAGTTTATACGTGTATTCCTTGACTCCCTTTCTGTCCCCTTTGCACTGGAGTCTTGAGCCATATATTCTGGTACAAAAGAACTCTGGAAGGCTGAGGTGGTGCATCCCTTAAATAGCCTTATAAGGGGCTACAAGGAAGTGTGCAGCGCATGTGACGCCCTGACAGGTACTGCTATGGAAACCCTCTGGCTCCAGGTCACAGGAGCGTGCACACACACCTGAGTGGAATACACATGTGAACCACACTTAGAAGAACAGTTACAGAATAGGTAAGTAACCATTTTTTTCTCTTCTTCAGATAGGTAAAATGACAATCTCTTTGAAGTAAAAATATCAAATTAGAAACCAGCGGAAATATAATTAGGTTCACATTGTAAATTCTCAGGAAATTATCCACCACAGGAATTCTCCTCTTGATTTTATGTACAATAATATGGTTCAGCCAGACTTTTGGATTTACTGTAGAGTTCTCTAATATTTTTAAACACAAGTACAAAACAAGGAGAATTCAGGTGTATATGGTTGATTCTCCACCAGTTTGCTTTGAAGAAAATCAAATATCTTTCCCATTATCTACAGAGTCTCACTAAACTTTATTGTAGGGCTATTGAAGTCTCTAGAAAAGTGGACTTAGCTGTACAACAGATTTTAACTCTTGTATTATTAGATTTAACACAGTAGCATTGCACCTCAGATGTAAATTAAAAAGCCAACTAGGTTAACATAATATGAATTTTGTATGAGAGCTGGTGATATGGTATGAATGCAGTCTGTCTTTAGTTAGGAAAATGAAAGCTACCAGTAAGTGAAAGCTGTGCTAAACTTTTGAGGACAGAATTATGTCTTTACTCCACTTTGCCATGTTTATTTTTCTAGGCTTTAAATATTGTAGACAGAAAAAGAGGTAGAATTCCAGCAATAAATTACTTTGCATACCAACAGAATAATTGTTACAAATATTAACAGAACAGCAGATAATGTATTTCAGATGTATTTTATCTTGGGTCTGATATAAACAGCTTGATATTGTAAGGTCTTTTATTATGACTTCTGACTAAAGCTAACATTTCAGAAGTTCAGGTGTAAGCATTGCTGTATCAGGTGAACTTTGAATGACACTCATGACTGATTTTTTTCTGTAGGAAGGATGTTGGACATAAGCTATGCCATATTGTGGCACCAATTTTTGTTGTACAGTGGTTGTATCAAAATTGCAGAGATGATGAATGGTATGAATGATCTGAAAGAAGAATTACTCACTGTGATTAATAGTCATTAAGATTAGCAAGGTCATCTTTTTCTATTTTTTTTCTTATTTAAGCTACTGAAGAAAATTAATCACAGTTTTAAAACACACTCGTAAATAAAATATTTGGTAGCAGACCTTAAACAGTTTCTGTAACAGATGATGATAAAGTAGTCTGCTATTATAGCCTTCCTTATTTTATAATTTCCACAAACTTCATGACCTGGTAATCCCAGGCTCAAAGTTATTTCACTTCTTTGTTATTAACCAAACATCTTATTCTGTTGTTAGTGCTTTTTTAACCATTTTTACTCTGTTCTTTGCAGTTTTTTAATGTTTTTCATGGTGTTGCATATCTTCATAGAAACCAATTGATAACTATTCGAACAATTCAATTCAGATGTTTCTTAAGAGAAGAAGTTGTCACGTTCAAACTGTCATTCCATTGTCCTTATTTTACTTCTCCATCTTTTCGTTAAATGATGTACCAAAACTATTTTTAATAAAATGAAAAGTGTATTAACATGAAAAATGTAAGGATTTTTTTTAATTTAAATAATGCTGAAAGAATTACATCCAGGGGATACAGTTAGTTATAATTGCTAATAATCATCATCATTCTTGAATGAAGAGATTAATGCTGGTCAGATGCTAGTATTGTTGAGTAGTACTTCTTCTGGAGATGCTTCTGACGTAACTGCTGTCCCATTAAAGTCACTGCTAACCTGTGCAGTGGACACTGATTTCCAACATAGATTTAAACTTCAGTATGTAATAGAAATAATAATGTCTTTGAGATTGAAATATGTAAATAACAATATAACATTTTATACTGTGTGCTTGGTGTGAATAAGAGATTAAATATGTATAGTAAATATGTAAAATATGTACAAAAGAGATTAAAGTATGTATTGAAATATCTCTGTCTACAGAAATTGTTTTCATTGGGAGCAGGAGACAGACAGCTGATACAAACCCCTTTACATGATAGCCTTCCTGTTACCAGTACCAGTGTGGCTCTTCTTTTTCAGCAATTGGGTAAGTCTGTTCTTAGTTTCTTATGGTATTTTACAAAATGTTATAGAATGAGATATTCTCATTTAATTTAGTCATGTTAGGTCAGGGATCAAAAAAGGCTGCATTAATGCTATGATAGTGATTATTTGTTTTGAATGAAATAGCTATAATGCTTTTGTTATGTTTATATCTGATTTAGGGTGACCAGATAGCAAGTGTGAAAAATCGGGGTCAGGGGGCGGGGGTAATTGGCGCCTATATAAGACAAAGCCCCAAATATCAGGACTGTCCCTAAAAATCGAGACATCTGGTCACCCTAATCTGACTATATAAACTTCCTTTCTCCACATCCCATTCTTGGAATTTTTCTCTGTCATTATGCAGTACTTGCAAGCCTGTTGTAGATGGAGTTAAACCTGGCTGTGTTTCATTACACCTGCATCATACAAAGAATTTCCTCCCTGGCCACCATAGCAGCCCTCTACATATCCAAGGAGGATAATTTTGAAACTAGCATAACTTAAAATGACACATCGCACTCCCATCAAAAAGTTTAGTGGACTCCATAGTACTTGCTGCTAATATCTCTCTAACTTATTACAGTAGTAATCGCAAAGAACCGCTGGCCCATTCTCTTTATTTTGGTTCCAAATTGAATGACAAAGACCGCTGCATCTTTAACTATAATCCCACTTCACCCAGTAGGCCGCTTCTGACTCTGACCATTTTACTTCCCCTGCCTTCGTTACTGAAATACGAACTGCAAAACTCCTACCTAAATTTGGTGTGGGTTTGGGAGCTGGAAGGAATCAGTAAATCTGCTCTCTAAATTTCTGAGCCTCTGGGCAAGTATTCAACAATAAAAGGGTCTAGGGATACATGTAGGGAGACAGGCAACAACATAAACGTAGAATGAAAATAGAAAGATTTTTACTGTGAACTTGGGCAAATCAGCCTGAGACACTTTCCCACTTTGGGATATACCACTGAAAAGAAAAAATATGTGTAGGGATAGTCAAAGCGAGAGCTTTAAGGGAAATCCACCTGTACAAAAAGCGTTAACTACTAACCCTGAAAAAAACCCAACACTACAGGATTCTGTATCTATCCAGTACTCAACTCCATTAAAATGTGTTGATTAATACTAACAAATTGAAGAAACCGGGTTCTATTCTATTATTTGTGAAGGAAGAATGTTCCGTTTCAGAGTCTGATTAGCATTCTGCCTTATATGTAGGTGCAGATTAAGAATTGGGACAACTGCAGAATTATGCATGAGATTTTGTTGCTGAACTTTCAACTCGAGGAGATTGTTCTCACCTTATAAATCAATATGTGAAAAAATGTTTTCCATTCCCATGAATTGTCCTGAGCTGTTTGATAATAAAGTTCAGTTTGCTTTGGTTGGGGTAGGGCTAGTAAGAATAATAGCTCTTGATATTCTAAGGATAGTGATAATAGACAAATTAGTGTACACTAAAGAATTGTAAGCAGATTCTTTGTAATGGGAACCAAATTTACTGAAAATATTGAATTTACTCTGTCATAGCCGATTCGCCGTTCTGCTTCTGTTACAGATTGTTTTCAAATGTTAAAATAAACCTTACTTATTCAGGAATGAAAGACTGGAATAATATGACACAAGTTCTCAGCCAGCATGAATGCTTCCCAAGCCACAGAAAATGCATGTAAGTGGTTGGAGTTGGAAAACTGGCTATGCTCAGATCACAGTATTGTCAAAGAGAACCAAAAATGACTGTTATATGAAGCCATATTCTAAATGTTTGGCAAGACTCTTTGCAATGGTTCAGTTTTGCCGAATGAAACCTTTTTTTTTTTTTTTTTTATGCTTCCCTGGTTAAATTATTGCAGCAAAACAAGCTTGGCAACTTTCTTCACCTAGTTCATCGAACTTCACACATGACCTTGTAATTTAAGAGCACCGGAAATACACTAGTTATTATGAGATTTCAGACAATTATGCTGGGTAAAACATTCAGAAGGAATGTATAGAGCTTATGTCACAGAAAGTGAAATACAAAATATTGGCATTGATACATATATTTCTACCCGCTGTTGAATAATATTAAATTTTATCCCTTTCCTTCAGAAGGAGTACTTGTTAACTACAATTTGTTGACACTGGAGCGCTGGTCTAAATTCCAAACCATATTCTGGATGACCTGTATATCAAGGACATCACTCATTACTGATGTTATTGGGCAGTTCTGTCAGCTTTAAGATGACTATGGGCAGTGTTCAGGCAATGGTTCAAATGTACTACAGCAAAATAATGGACTGCTATATGCCACTCTTAAGTTTCCAATAAGGGATATAACAAGGTGTGGTGTATGTAAAGAAACAATAGCATTCACATATAAGCATGACAGTTTATCACCTCAGCATCCAAAGACAAGGTATTGTATAGAATGTTACAGTGACTCAGTTCTGAACAAACGCAGGGTAGTATGCACTGATCAGATGGGCCATTTGAAGTTTCACTGTAATTTCTGTGGACTTAGAAGTGGTGGAAAGGAAGACTTGTTACAGAAATGCAGAGATCTTGGACCTGTAATGTCTCAGGATGATTCCCCTGACATTGACTGAGACTGTTGAAAAACTGACTGGATTTGCTTTAATCTCCATTGAAAATTGCATAGCTGATGAATTTGACTATAGCAAGATCATCAAGAACTTCAGGCCAAATTCTTACTCTGTTTGTGTGAATATGTGGGAGCAAAAAGTTGTGGATATGGGCATACTCCTATGAAAACCCCTAGGCACAGTAGACGGTGCAGGGATGAGCCTGAAGAGCATGTCCACTCTCTGAATTATAGTCCCCTACTCACCCTCAGCCTATTCCTTTCTTCAGATCCATAGAGAGTTTCAGTTTAAATTACTGTTACTCAAGTTACTGTTGAGTGATCCCCAGGTGTGAGGGTTGAGAGCACTGCAGATGTGTGGCACTCCTGCCAGGGGACCCTATTGCCACAGGGGCACCCTTTTGCCATAGAGGGTGCAGAGAGCATGATGGGACACACAATGCCACCAGCAGCTTCCCAAAATTTCTCTAGTTTGCCAGTTCCACGTGGAGAACCTTACATATTAGATAGCAATCAGTTGGAAATACAAGCTGTAAATGCGAAGAACTTGGAGTCCCTTGCACAAGAAGAGCCCCTATAAAGAAAAAAATGGCCTTTTGCCAGCAGGAAAAGTAAAAAAGAGAATTTCTTATAACTTCTCAAAAGTTACAATATTTCATTTCTTCTTGGAAGAACGAGTTGAAACTTTTGTCACAGCTAGCGACATCTTTTTTTATACTGAAATACTATCACACCTAGATGGAGCCAGAAGGTTTGGAAGTGTGAAACAGTAACAAATAGTACTAAAAAGAAAAATCTTTTTTTTAAATATTAAAAAACCCTCATTTCTGGTATGGTTTATTTTGGCAAAGGTTTGGTTAGTAGGTTCTTATTTTATCTCTCGTTTAAAATCTCAAGTTATGTGTAGAGTATAAAGTAATGTGCTTGTAGTACCATGGTCCAAATTTAAAATTCATCATTTTCCAACAAGTTACCACACAATGGCATCTGTGATTACTGCCATTTTCCATGATAATTGATCTACGGTAACTGTTGTAAATTTACTGTCCACTTATAAAGCATAGTATAGCAAAGCTGTTTACTTGTACGTGAGAAATTGATATTATATAAGCCACAATAAATAATGGATTCAGAGATATTAATGATGGAAAAAACCTGCAAGATTATTTCCTACAGAATTTCTAATACTTTGTCCAGTCTAATTTTAAAAGTCCCATTCAATACGTAGTTTGCATCTCTTGCTCTTCCTTTCCATTCTTAGGCCTGGTCTACACTGGGGAGGGGGATCGATCTAAGTTACGCAACTTCAGCCACGTGAATAGCGTAGCTGAAGTTGACGTACTTAGATCTACTTACCGCAGTGAAGTCGATGGCTGATGCTTTCCCGTCCACTCTGCCTGCACTTCCCACCCTGGTGGAGTACTGGAGTCGACAGGAGAGCGCTCAGCGGTCGATTTATCGCATCTAGACTAGATGTGATAAATCAACCCCCGTTGAATCGATCGCTGCCCATCGATCCAGTGGGTAATGTAGACAAGCCCTTAGGTGTTACCAAGGACAGAGCGCTGTCTTTTTAAGAGAGCTGCTCCTACTGTTACCTGCTTTAGGGTGAGAGGGGAAGTAGACAATGAGGCAGAAGGTTGAAGAAGCTGCAGGTAGATTCCCTAGCAGTGGCTGCAGTCTGTGGAAGAAAGAAGTTCACTTTTTCCTCCCCTCCTGTCTCAGCTCAACACCCTTTTCCCAAAGCGCAATGATATCCACTCTGTCTCTGTATAAACAACAAGGAGTCTGGTGGCACCTTAAAGACTAACAGATTTATTTGGGCATAAGCTTTCATGGGTAAAAAACCTCACCCACGAAAGCTTATGCCCAAATAAATGTTAGTCTTTAAGGTGCCACCGGACTCCTTGTTGTTTTTGTGGATACAGACTAACACGGCTACCCCCTGATACCTGTCTCTGTATGTTACTCTGGCTCTCAGCTGAGGCCTCTCCCAATTTGCTGGTCTCTAAGCATCAGAAGGGTTGTGGTGGGAGATAGTCATGCTTTACATCATGTGAAGATGCACATTTTTTCTATATTTCTGAGATCATGTGGCATATTACTTTTTCTAAAATGAGGGAAACTTGTCCATTCAAATGTGGGTTGTGTCTCTCATCGTAAGAACTGTTATCTTGTTTTTATGGCCAAGGGAAAGATCCATATTTCTGATGCCATTTTTACAGTAATAATCTGTTTATACTAACATTAACTTTCAATTCTTGATTATTTTAATAAAACCCAGATGTTAATATGATAGCTATGTCTGTTTATTCACAATTAATGTGAATGATAAAAGAGCACTGGAAAAAATTAAATGTTTCCATAAATTCTCTCCTTCATGCTCCATTCTTATGCAGTCTGATGAAGAGTTAAGGC